CTGGTCTGATAGTTTTCGCGGTACGGAGACAATTATATTAGCGAGTTTACCACTCGGATCGATACTGCACAGCCACCGAGTCAAGGTGAGCTTTCTCTACCTCTGTCCTTCTCGTTTCCCATTACTTTTCGCGTGTCTCTTTCTGCCTCGCTCACGCCTCGTCATCCCTCTTTATCTTCTCGGTTCTATCAATCTTTTCCTCGAGCCTCTTTTCTTTTCCCGTTCCCCCGTCGCGTCCGTTGAAATTTTATAGAGGCTATTTCGTCGTGCCAAACCGACTCTAACTTGATAACCCATTACGTACACTGCCTAAATGAAGTTGGAAAGGTCCCCGCTCGTTAAAAGGATCAACGAGTGTTCGAGGTACGTTCGAGGCAAAGTCCGGCGCAGCAGGAAACGCAGCTGGTTCCGTGCGCCCTTTCACAGATGCCTCCGTACAATTTATCGGCAAGGATGCTCTCGTGCTTCTCCGATAGGTGAACTGTTATTATTGCTCGGTGAAGCTGTAGGTCGCGATTATTTGCGGATCGATCGCGCCTCGCCACCGAACGGACGGGATCCCTTTTTCTTCCACATCGTGTGTCACCCTCGCGTTCCCGCGCGTCCAACGTTTCGACCACCTCGAAACGCCGCCCAGCTTTCATCCTTCCCTGAGCTTTTACGATCGAACGTGACGTTGATTTTAGGCTTTCTGGCCCCAGCTACGTCTTTCAACCTCTTCTTCGTGCACGACCTATTCCCAGTTACATTTTCGTCGCGATTTTTCACGTACACCTTACGAAACACATCGTCTCTTCAGTCCATAGTAATCAAGCCAATTCCTCGTTTAAGGAATTCGCTATGTGTGCCAAACAACACGATTCCGGTGAAATCGGAACGCCTGGTGCGACTACGAATTCACCGGTACACCGAGTCTTGGTTCGTTGAAAGCGAACCGCACACGTTCCATTAAAGCTTTCAAGATTCGAAATATTTTCTTTTGTATAAAGGCAACGAATCGAATGCAGTACGTACGCAGACGAAATATACAGGAACAATGGGGACATAGTTTTCCGTCTCGGTACAATGGCGAAACTTTTAAACGCTCTCGCGTAATTTCTGCCCACGTAACAATACGACTTTTAGGCGTGCCCGAATAATTCCCTTAAATTCCCTCGAATTAATGGAGCGCGAGGGTAACAGGGTTAGAATAGCCAAATACAGAGAAACGTTTTTCGATGCGCCACGTGCGGCAAAGGGCTATCGCCGTCCGTGTAGATCGATTTCGGAGTTCATGGCGCAAAAGCTCGACGTTGTTTCAATTTAATGGAATATCAACTCGAAACTAAGTTACCATAATAAACGAATGCAATTTCCTTGTTCCGATTTAAAAAGAGATAAAGAAAAAGAAGAAGAAAAGTAAAAAAGAAACGAACGTTTGTACGACGTACATACGTAGCGATAACTATCATTGATCGAGGCGCGCCATTCGTTTATCTACTCTACTCGAATTCTCGAGTTCTCTTGCTCCAACTTCTGACTCTTGGGTTGCTCACCGTTCGAGCAAATAAACATTTCGCGCGGGCGAAATCAGTCGCGAATCCTAGAATTCGGAGATATACCGATTTCCAATGCACGGATCGTACTTCGTTTTCGATAATTGAAATGGATTTTGTACTGTTTGCGTTACGACTGTTTCACGGAAATTGCACACGTTGGTCCGGCATCGTGATCGTTTTAAATCGTCGGTATCGCTTTAAAATATTAAATCTAATTTTGCGAAACGTATTGAAACATCGAATCGATGCAACGAATTTGTTTATTATTCGCAAACAATCGTAATCGCACCGATACTCTACATATTTACTACATCGAACGCTCTACCGTGCTCGGTTATTTGCGCAATATCGAATTTTACGAAAATTCGATTCAACGTCGTCCGAGCTGTATTCTTCTAGTTTCGCGACGTCTCGTAAACACGGCCGAATCGCCCTTCGGTATAATAATTCATCTCTATCAACTAGAAAACGTCTAGTACGTAGTCATTGATTTCAGATACAAGACTAGTTATTTATAACACACCTCTTCCTGTGAATCGTTTCTCGAGCATACATACGTAGGTACGTACAACATCTAATGTGTGTTGCGAAAGAATGCGGATGGCACACTTCGATATTTCCACGTGCTGACAATCTTTTCTTATTTATCACGAGAATAAGATTAGAAAATTTTAGAAAAAAAATCAACCATGGAGCAATTTTATTGTCGAATTTAGTTGGTTGTGTAAACGTTACTGTCGCTTCGGTAGATAGAGGAAACGGAACTAAAGGAAATAATATCGCGAATGGAAACAGATTTTTTTCGTCGCTCCATCGACGGATTCGCGTGAAATGGACGGATGGATTTTTCCGTAAAATGACTGCGGAACGAAGCAACGTTACGCGCAAGAGAAACTCGTTGCTTTTGCCTAGGAGATTTGCAATCGAGCAGATAGCTGCAAAAGATATTGCCCGTTCAAAGTGATTTATGACGTTGCTGTTTCCGCGAAGCTGCTCCATCGCTGCTCCGTCGCGTTCCTATTTGAAAAACGAACACGTTGACAGAGAATTTCGAGTTAATTAGCGTAACGTCAAACGATTTAATGGAATGAACATACGCGTTGCGTACAACGTCGATAAAAAAAAAGTTGTCGTACCGACGAGTTAAATTGGAACCCGGTTCAGGTATATTCGTTTGGACATTTGTACGCGAGGCTACTCGAAGCATAAATCAGCTTCCGATGAAAATGTTTTGCAAACCGTGCAATTAATGAATTATTGTCGACCATCGGAAAGTGGTGTCGACGGCCTAACCGAACGACACGGTAAACTTTCAATGAGAAACGCGGGCGCGTTAAGTGCTCTCTTTTAAATCGATTAACATCGTTACCGGAACCCGTCGATTCCCCTCATCCAAGACGGACTAAACTTATCGATTCGTGCTTTCATGGTCGAATCCGTGTACAATTTTCCGCTAGTGAGCGCGCGATCGCTCGTCAAGTATAAAAAAGTAGCAGCGAAACGTTTAAACTGTCTTTACTTTACCCCCGGAGGTCGTTTAAAGTTTCACGGGAACATTTTGTTGGAAAACGATTGCAGGCTGATCGTTGGAGTCTTGTGGCATCGTTTAAAAAAAATGTCTGCCAAGAACGATCGATGTTCCGCTATCTGACCGGATTTCCTTTCAAACAGTGAGGTACTTTATTTAAGCGTTTTGCTATTCAAGAAATTAGAATTAAAACGATACTCCGAGAGGCAAAAGACTTTGGTTAATGCGGCTGTTTATGCTCAAAGTATCCATCCAACGATCGTTTGTCAGAGAAACGTTCTGTTCGGTAGCACAGTAGACATTGTTTCCTCCAACGTCTTATTTAGTAGATTAAACGAAATATCGTATCTCCGCGAACAAGGCTCGCGTTTATAAAAAATCTGTTCGCTGTGGGTGTTTAAAATATTTTGCACGTTCCGACGGGCGGAGATCATCCGATCTTGCCAGAAGAAAGACGGAACAAAGAGTTTCAGCAATTTTGTTGCGCGAAGCGAAACGTTATATCCCTTCCTAGCCTTGCTTTTAGTACCATTTTACGAAGCACAGTGTCGTCGAGAGACCTACTAACCCATATCCTTAAAAAGCTAAATGTGACGTTTAGCTCGTATGGAGAAGGTTCTCGATATATCGATCGGGTCGGCGGAATTTAAAAAATTGATTGCCGCGATCGCACCCGAATACCTCCGGAATATTAAGCACGGAACCGCCCTCGCGATCAAACCAACCGCCAACGTTACTATTCGTCTTCTTCTTGAACTATGGTCAACAACAAACTTATCGCGAAACTTGGATTCGACTCGTCGTTTTTTCTTCGAGGAAACGTGCATTTTTCAAAGCACGAATCGTGTCGGGGAAAAAAAGAAATACGATGGATAACGAAACGTTATCTAAATGGCAAACGAAGGAAAGAATTGCGAATCGGTTATCTCGTAATCGGATCACTCGTATTTTCTGTTGGACGCGCGAGACAAATAACACGTACCTTGTGAAAAATGTTATCTTTGGTTCTTTAACCGCGAAAAAACAGAGCTATCGCTGGCAACCACTTGGAACTTCTTGCAGCGGTAACCGGTTCTCTGTTTTAGCGGTTATGAGACCTCCGTGCACAGTCGTTGGCTTAAAACGTACGATGACGCGATTTAAACGACTGTGTAATTTTGATCGCTGTTCTCTGCGTTTTTCATTGCCGGCGGAACGACGATAAAACGAGAAAATCCTGGTTCGCGAAGACATCCGACGTTACCGGTATAAATTCCTCTCATTATTCGGGCCAATCTTTTTGCATATAACGCATAAACCAGTCGCGGTACGCGCGCTAAACGAATAAATTCATTTTACGGTGAATCTATGCACGATACGTTTCGCGGAATGGATTCAATGAATATGCAAAATAAAAATAAATTAAACTGGTAAGATTACCTACCGATTTCAATTTTAACGGCGTAAATTTAACGGGGACAGGTCGATGAAACACCTAACGCGGAATTATTCGACGAGAATCGAACGTAACGTTATAATTTATTCGTTCGTAAACAAAACTGTAGTACCAGTGCCTCTTCGCGTACTGCTCGTTACGAAAATATTAACATCTCTTGCCGGGAAATTTCATTCTGCGCCTTCTCGACCAGTTTCATGCTTAATTATCTGGTATCTCGGAGAGAAATGCTTTATCGCGGCTAAAATTGTAAAGAAACCCACAACGCGACGTTAACTTGTTATCTCGTGCTGCGTCTGCATTCGGCGCGTCTGACCAGTGACCGAGTTATACTACTTGAGAAAATGATAATTATTGTTTTAAGCTTTACCGGCTAATGAAATAACGCGATAATCGAAGCTATACCTCCCTGTACAGCCTTTAACGTTTGGCGAGGCGTGACAAGCAACGAATATAATTTATTTTAACGAGGTTTAACATATGTTTCTGGTCCACTCACCTCTGTATCGTTCCACCACATGTGCAGCCGATAGTTCCTGAGCACGGCTGGATCTTCGTTGATGTGATCCACGGCGAGCTTGACCGAAGGCATAACGCCACGACCAACGTGGCTTTCGGGTACGTGGTTGCCGTACGGAAAGAATCCAGCGATGTAAACGTCTCGCCTCTTGGCGCCGCCGAGGTTTATCGGCTTCTGCCCGTCGCAACTCAAAATTCCGTCCAGCCACAGGATGGACGCGCACAGGTAAGCGGCCGCTAACAAACGACGCCAGCATCGCTGTCGAAATTTTCTTGGAACGACGGCGGCCATCGTGCGTTGCTCGAATGCACTCGGTGCGCGCGTTGCAAAAGCTATCACCGGTTCGACGACTTTAATTGGCTCTATTTTGCCCGGCCTCCGATTCCACGGGCGATAATCTTGCCACGCTGGTTCCTATTTTCGCGTGCATCGAAAACGATCGCCGCTTGCTTAAATCTAATAGCGTCGAGGGTTAATTGACTGTATCGAATCGACGGCTACGCCACGTTCATTTTACCCGTTCTTATCCTTCGAACGCGTCGGGTTACTCTTGCTCTTTTTTCTCACGACCGCGGTTCGTTTCTTCGATTATTCGCGCGTTCCATCATTTTCTTCGCAGATCCTCGACACGTTCGATACTCGTACACCCTTCGCGGCGGTTGTTACTTCCCGTGAAACATTATTTCGTCTATTTACGTTTCTTCTTTGGCTCCGACTAGTTGGAAACGTAGCCTCGTTTCCATCTCTTGGTCGTAGTTCCGCGGATGCTGCGACCGAAAGAAACGACACGACGAGACTTGGAGCTATTTCCGGACGACTCACCGAGACCCGGCGATAGTTGTACGAAAAGATATATATATATGTTGGTTAACAAGGAAGATTTCGTGTGCGGCTTCGCGCGCGCGACACGTTCAACGGATTGGCAAAGGATAATTGCCTAAACTTTGAAAAGCGTAACAAACAATGTTTATTTGCCATTTGTCGCGCTGCGACGTTTGATTTGTTGCCGATCGCAAGCTCCGCTGACTCGACGACGATATCGATCGTTTATTCTATCCTCGATTCTCATCGCGTGCTCCGCCTTCGATCGTGATTCACGAAGCAACCGACGATCTCGAAACTGGATCTGCAACAGAAATTCGTAATATCGGAGTTAAAGCGGTGATTTAACGGTCGAATCGCAAGCTAGTCCGTCGCTGAACCGTGTAATTTAGTTAGAAACCGTAACGGTGATTCGAACATATAACAAAGATACCGCCGCGGTCCGTTTTCGGAAAATCTCATCCGCGATTCGGTAATTCTTCATTAACGGGGAACGAGCGTCGTTAATCGGCAATTAAATGCAGGATCGAGCAGCCGAGACGCGTGGATCACGATTCAACGTTTACCGTGTCTTATAGGACTTCTCTATACTTGATCTCTTAAAAGAAACGCTATGTCTATTGGTTGGAACCAACCAGACGGTTCTAAGGGTGCAATCACGTCAGAACTAACATTATCACTTTGTTGTACCAATTGTCGGCATATTCTTGTATTATTCTTGTCTTGCCAACAAAATTCACCGAAAACGTAACCCTTTCTGTAGAAATTGAAACCGAGACGCGAAAGCGGAAACAAGGCAAATATCGTGGAGATAACCGAGCCAACGAACGGAAACCGTAGCCGAACCATGTTTCGCGTTTGATAATTTAGGAAATAGGTCGAACGATATCGTTTTTCCGTTCTGTTTCACGGTAGTTGCACGAATAAAAATATTGTCTCTCTCGTTTGCACGGCATTCTCTGTGTCCGAGTATTCCGATCGCGACAAACTATTATCGGTCCTGATCATCTTGGGTAGATGCAACGACGTTCGGTTGTTTACCAAATTAAACCGTTCCCGAAACAATTTCGAAACGGTACGGTTAAAAACCAACCGCGAGAGACACAACGGTCCTTTCTCTTAGCGAATTAAAATTACGTACACAGTGGAGTCTACTCGATTGTTGCACGCCGCGGGAAACGTGTTTTATCTTGGCTTCGCAAACCAGAGAACATTTAGATAAACCACGCGCGACGAGACACGCAACTTTTCGTCAAAAAAAACAAAAAAGAAACACTAGACAACGGAAATAAAACCGAGGCGTTGGCGGAAAAAATATTACCGACGTTTTTCCGTAATTTTTTACGCGTTCCCGCAACACACCGCGCATCGAAGATGACATTAAGAAATGCTTCTCGCCGACAACTACTCCTAACGAACTTTTTTCATTAAAGCTAAGTGGTGTTCGATGCCGCGAACGCCTGTGCCCCGACCATTTATCGAGTAATACTGGTTATTACGAAGAACCTCCTGCTACGCTCACCGAGGACTATAATCATCGTTGGACGTTGTTCGATGCAGAAATCGTTGCGTTTTCTGCGTGAAAGGAGCATTCGAGACCTTAGCTTCGGTTCGAGGAAACTACGCTATATCTACGAGACAAGCAATTACGCGGGAACAACGAGGCGATTAACGTCAAAATAGAGAAGGCAACCCGGTAGCAGACAATCGACTCGTTATTTTACATTGTTAACGAGCGTAACAAAGTTCTACGGAGAACTCGGTCGCACATTCCTCGAAAAGGAGGAAGCCCGAGATGTTCGAGGGTTAAACGGGAAAGAGGATGAGAGCGGATAGAGGCACGAGATGAGTTTGCTCGAAGCTCGTACTTGACCGGAACACTCGAGTCGATGAACTTCGGATGATCGTAAAGTTAAGTGTCCGGAACCTCTAAACCCTAAGTACCCAATTACAATAGCAGCAGCTGTCGATAACGTTCGCTCGCAACGGACGACATCGTACCGTTCTAAGAGACACTTGTTTCGGACGATAAGATATCCTGGATCCGTGATACGGAACCGTTGACGCCCAGTTATAACCGTACGTTACTACGCATGCGTTATTCCCCCGGTCACCGTATCTTTACATATATCTTTCGTTAAACGCGAAACAAGTCCTCCGCAACTTTCATAGATTACGACGTTCGAGAGAGAACCCTCTCCGATATTCCGCCTGTCGATCCAACTAATTAATCTTCGTTGGCATAGAAAACGTCGAGGAGCCGTATCGACGACTCGAAAAGCGACATTCAACGGCGCGGCGGCGGGAACTTAGTTTCAAAGTACGCGACACGGAAACTGTCCGCTCATCGGGATCGATAAAGAGTAATTGAACCTTGCCGTGTCCGTTGCGAGCATCAACGGCAATATTTCTTACGTTTAAGAATTTCAAGAGGAAGAAACCGCGTAATCGACCGAGAACGGTAACCGAGCAGTTGAACGCGGAAATTTCGAAGCTGTTTCGCGTACTGTTTGCACCGGCGTTAATTTATAATAGTATGCTCGTTACCGAACAGAGAACGGATGCGCAAGTTCTTGCGGTTGCGATGGTCAGACGGAACCTGGAGTAATTATTAACTGCTGTTACAGAGTTAATTACGTAAACGAGGAATTAACAAACGGCGTATGGGGATGCAACGAGACGCGGGCGTACGCGTATAGGTTGGTTTCCCCGAATTGAATCATCTTCGCGATCGTCGTCGTCGTCGTCGTTGTCTTTTCATTCTCCCAATTAACTGCCTCTGCTTTATCACTCTTTTCTTAAGAGCATCTTGTTCGTTCTTTGCCTCTTGCTCGCCTCGCAAATGTCACCGTCTCGCCCGAATTTCTTCCCCGCGACTCTCGAGGTTCTCACCTCGCTTTTTCCACGTTTCCATTTTCGGCGCGGGAAACTCCTTCGCTTCCGCCCTCTTCCGAACATTCTTAAAACCAAGTGTTTGGACTAGAAGTGCTTGCGCTTTCAGACATACCGAAAGGTGGAAAATAAAAGCACTTGGCAAGCACCGAGTCGCGTAAACTTGTACGTCGCTGTTTCACGTCGCGATCGACCATGGCGTGACGATCGAAAGCAACGTTACACAAAAAGCAAGATTATCTAAAGAATATTCGCGATCCGTGCACTATTTCCTTCCTTCGTTTTCATTTCGTTGTCCTTCTTTATGGAGTTAATTTCTTTTGTTCGTTTCTTTTATCGCAGTCGCGATTCGCGCTTTACAACGTCCTTGCCATTTGAATCTACGTAGCTCATAGAATGGCCGAGTTCTCTTCCGTTTTCTTTCAAAGAAAATCTTTGTTCCCGCAAAGGGAGGATACGAATGGGGCGAGTGCCTTTTCGATAAAACCGGGCTTAAAATGTAGGCCACGACGAATCGAAACGAATCCTAGAACATTAGCCGTTTACGATCAAAAAACACCCTTAAAGCAATGGAAAAGTCTTGTATGTTTTTCATTGCATTTTGTTTAGATCCGTGTGGATGAATGGGGACCTTTTCTCGTATCGTAGCTTCTTTTTAAACAGTGCTTTACCCTTTTGGGGGCTCGTCTTGCAACGCGTCAGCCGTTACGAACTTGGCGGGAAAATTGTTCGCGAAACTAATGGCAGTCGCGGTTTCGCCAGGTGCCATTGACCGACGTCGACCAATGTTCGTTCAACACTTAGGGGGAGAGAGAAGGAAAGACGATAGCCAGTTTGAACGTAGCGATGAAAATCGGTATGCCACGTAATGAACAACGGTCGCGACTCTCGATCAATAATCGAGCGTCGCGTTGGCCGGCTAGGTCCAGGAAAACCACCGGTTTACACCCACCGGTCAGAGAGCCAGGTGTCTGACGGACCGTGTCGGTCTGTCAGGTTCAGGAGTAGCGTCGGTTAACGTCCAACGGTCGGACGTTGATCGGGTTAACCAACCGTGACTTCAGAGGAACGCGGCGGACTCGATAAGTCGCGATCTATCTATCGGTGAATCCAGTGATCCGCGTTTTCGTCGAATAGACCGTTGGAATTTTCGAAATCAGGACCGACCGGTTAACTCTGCAAATTTCCTCGACGCGGTACCTTTCGTTCGATTACGAGGTAGACGATGCATCCCAGAGAGAGAGTGAACGGAACGAAGACGACCACTCGAACCTAGACGAGACAGAGTATCGGATTCGGATTAATCGTATGCACGTCGTGTTCGGTTCTATCGAAAACGGAATCGATTCGATCGGAGCCAAATTTAACTCAGAAACCAAAGTATTTTTCTTCGAACAGGAATATCGCTGTAATTTAAATTCACCTACGGACCAAAGCACGGGATTAGTGGACTGGCCCTTAATGTTACACACGGTGATCACGACCGTGGTTGGTTATCGTGTAGTCGTTAATTTATCTATAATCTTCGATATTTATATTGGAAGCGAACAATCTGCCTGGTTGCCCGGACGAGTAATCCAATCTATGGAAAATTTACGAGCAGATGGCCGATAGACTGGAAAATTGGATTATACGTAATATGAATTTTATCCAAGCTTCTTCCTGTCGCCGTCCAATTCGAATATTAATGCAGCAATTCGTTTCCCATTCTCGATCTTCTCCCGCGATAAATCGTACCGCTACTTTTCGTTGAAATAACGCGGCGCGATATTAACGCCCGTTTGAATCGGTTCGACGCGGCGGGCGTCACGTTTAAGCGAAACCGACAAACAGTGGAGTTCGTCGCGCGTCAGATTATTGTATCGTAAAACGTAATTAGCGCGTAACGATTGATAATTGAACGTTATCAAAGACGGCGAGGGTTGGCTTGATTCCCGCGCGACGAGGCGAGGCGTTTCGAATTAACGAGGGGAGAAAGGGTGATTCCAAGAGCACGTTATGGTTATTTAGACGGATGCAGAGGAGCAAGACCGAGACGGATCGCGGGTAACGTAATCGATGTCAGCGACGACGTTTTGTAAACGGAGTTAGTCGTGGTGGCCGATTGTCTGCTGGCGTGGCGCGGCACGGTCGAAGCAATAAGGTGGTCTCATACAGTATTCATCGGCGACCATGTCGCGGCAAGGTTGGGCCTTGGCATAGTGACATAATTCTTGGTTGTATCGCGCTACTAGCTAGTAACACGCTAGCCAGTCAGCCGGCGGTGGTGACCGTGAGTCTCGACTGGAATAACTGACTGGCGATGACGTCGGCAGTTG